CTCCTACGCCCGTAGAATAAACGAAACACATTTGAAATCAATTTTATACCTCTTACTCACCATTCTGTTCTAAATACTGTCTAATAAACAAGACAAATGGAAAGTTTCGTGGATTAAGAGATGTTCAGACAGCTACCAATCAAAGTCACGAACAGATGCTGGAACACGTAGAAGCTATTCTTGATAAACAGGTGAACATGGGCAGCATTCAAAGGTTTTCGTGAGTGGATCGAAAAAAACCTGGGATGTTTGCGATCATTACAAATTATAAATTAAACAAGTTTGTTTATATTATTGTGATCAAATAAGGCCAATACGGAAAAAGCACACAATTTTGTAATTAGATTAACAATTTAAATTCTTAAAAATGAAAACCCAGTGAATATTTAATAAATACATGATAAATAGATCATATACATAATAAACCCTTGTTCTAATACTAATTTCAATTTTTGACACGGTTGGTAGGATATCCCTGAAATTCTGATTTGTTTTTTGAAGATTATTCTCCTAAAATATACTTACTATCCTTTCAACTTATAGTTTTCCACTCTTTTACCATATTATGAACATTTAAATTTTAATTGAATTTAAATTTTCTAAATATTATTTTAAGATGTACGTTCTCAAAGTGTAGCAAATATGTTTTTTAAGAGCGTTCAATTTTTATTATGAAATTATTACTTATATCTTACAATAGTTGATTTTTTTTTTTTCAAAGAAAAATAAATTTTAGTAAAAATTTATTTTCAAATTTGTAAACTGTAAACTGTAAACTGTAAACTGTAAACTGTAGACTGTAGCTGTAGACTGTAGACTGTAGACTGTAGACTGTAAACTGTAAACTGTAAACTGTAAACTGTAAACTGTAAACTGAACTGTAAACTGTAAACTGTAAACTGTTTACTGTAAACTGTAAACTGTAAACTGTAAACTGTAAACTGTAAACTGTAAACTGTATAGGTGTTTACAAGAGCTGATGTTTTGGAACAGCTTTCAATCACAGATCAGTTTCTCAGGTTAAAACAGCTGATTTTTTCAAAATGGCAGACTTCTGTGTTTGAAAAAAAAATATTCACTAATTGAGAGCAATCTTGAGAGATATTTTAGCTGTTGCTAACATACAAAAAAATAAAAGTAAAACATGACAAATTAATACAAAAAAATTAAATTTTAAAGCATGAATTTATTTGCAATCAAAATTGGAAGAGTTCAGAAGAAATATTAAAGTGAAGAATAATAATCGAAAAAATCATCATTTATTTTGATAAATATTCTAATTTTCAGTTATGTGGTACATATATATATATATATATACAATTACAAAAGTAGTTTTTAAAGAAGAAAACAAATTTTAATTCACACTTTTTGTTTAACAACCCTATATATATTCTTCCCTAGATAGAAAAAAGACTAAACATCCTCCTCAGATTAAGGTTTAAAGAGTACTCTTGTGAACCGTACATGTCACTCATTTTAATGGAGGCCGGGGCACTTGAAATTACGTCTCGATTCCCTTGAACTAAAACAAATTAAAATAGAGCAAGACAAAAAATATTAAAAAAATAAACTAAATTGATTGAAAAATAAATTAAATGGATGGAAAAGTAAATTAATTTGATGAGAAAATAAACTAAAATGATGAATAAATTAATAAAATTAATTTTTCTAGGGACGAGATATTAACCAACGATACAGAGAACATGGAAAATTTTAAACTCAAGCAGAGAGCTAGGTGATTTGTTGGTGCTAAATATTATATCTAGGGATTTCATTTAATCTTTGATTCGACCCAGATATAAAACTTACAGACTCATTTACAGCGGGTTTTTAACATTTAACTATCTTTCAATTTTAGCAAACTTATCCTTTATACTTTTACTCAAAATTGTTAGATACAGGCCACAAGGTGTCCCAATATACATGGAAATTATATGACAAGTACTATTTCATGTTTGGACCACACAGTATTATTTCGTAAAAACACTTTAAATGGATGGTTTTACAGTGATAACATTTCATAAAGAAAACCACTATTATTCTACCATTTGTTCTACCACTTTTTCCAGTTAAAATTGACAAATATATTCTAAAATCTGTCCAGATTCCAATTAGTTTTATAAATCGTCGAGTGTAATATCTCCGTCAATTTTTAAGACATTTAAAGAAGGAAGCTCATATTTTGGGAAGCTTTTAATGCGTACAATATTGTTCTAATACACTTTTGTCATTTATCAATTATCGGAATTCTAAGACGGTTTTTAAGTACTGTATAGTCTTTTAATTCTCATATCTATTGGGACACCCTATACCAAAAAGATTTTTCCACTTGGATACTTTTTATAGTTTATCAGAGACCGAATTTAATGATTTTGAGCTGCGTCACTAAACCACCCATTGCGGGTTTAAATTTGAACCACCGATTTTAAGTTAGAGATTCAGTAAGGATTTGAATCAGTGATTCAAATTTGAACTGACGGTAGGTTTGTTCTAATTCAAATTCGGTCTCATGTAAATTTTAATCCTCTTTTGTAGACATGTGTATAGCGAGTCTGCTCGCGTCTACAAATTTAGAGATATCTGTCACTCCGCAGGTATGAATCTTGTGATTAACATTTTTACAAACCAGTAACCAGACACTAGAAACCAGACACCAGAAACCAGAAACTAGAAACTAGAAACCAGAAACTAGAGACCAGAAACTAGAAACCAGAAACTAGAAACCAGACACTAGAAACCAGACACTAAAAACCAGACACTAGGAACCAGACACTAGAAACCAGACACTAGAAACCAGACACTAGAAACCAGATACTAAGAACCAGACACTAGGAACCAGACACTAGAAACCAGAAACCAGAAACCAGACACTAAAAACCAGAAACCAGAAACCAGACACTAGGAACCAGAATACAAAAACCAGAAAGAGGGAATCCAGATTAGGAGTTTATGGGATGTTAGATAAACAATGATATGATACAATAAAGAGCAGAATTTGATGGCATTGCTTGCAAAACGTTTACTCCATGACCTAGGAATTTGTAAAGCCCAAAAACGAAAAAATAAAAAACTGGGGTTGGAGAGGAAAATTAGATTTTTATAGGATCCCAAAGATCATTTGTTTGATGACTTTTTTGAAAAATTATGAATCTCCCATTAATGGCATGATTTCTTAAAAATATCTTTCATATTTTATAAGTAAAATGCCTGTTCATCGTTATAAAGAATTGTTATGTTAGCAAACATTTTGTTGTTGTTGTTGTGCAAGGGAGGGGCACCTGCGCCTAGAACGCCATGAGATTTGAGAACTCTCAGATTTGCCAGTACCAACCCTACGCTGTAAACTGTCAACTGAACTTAAAAGTTTTTTAAATTAATTCCGTTTTGCTGTAATTTTTGATCCAAGTGATAATTAGAAAGGAATCCTAAAGTTTAAAACATTTTTAATAATTGCCCCCCCCCCCCCCGCGTTTGCCCTGAAAATTATCATTACCTATTGTTAAACCTCTGCTTATTATTATTATTATTATTATTACCAATCAACCAACAGTCAAAGAATCATGTCAGGACGGCAATGATACCTTTGATCTCCAGGGACTTACCCGTGTCCGGTTGGGTCTCATGGATCATATCGGGTTTGAATTTTTTTAAGACTCAGTGTGTATGCCAGATATGTATGGAGGCCTAATAATGCTTTAAAGGCATTATTGAACAGTGACACATTGCCTGATTTAACCTCAAGGAAAAATTTTAACTCATTTAGAATGAGTTATTCAGGTTTTGTTTGAATGGATGGTAACTAAAAAGACAGTGGAAATATTTTCCTTTTTTCCTTAAATATAGAAATATCTTTTGATAGGAGACGGAGCTTTGAGAAGTCTTGGTGAACTGATGAACTTCAGCCATTCTTCCTGCAGGTAGGTGGAACACAGAGTGGCTTTCCTGATACAAAACAGTACCCCTTAAAGCTTTGTATGATCAGGAATGAATATCTTACAGTGATGTTCTAAATAAGCCGGAATAAAATTAATTGATTGATAACTTCAAAGGACAAGGACAAGGGCAAGGACAACAATACCAATAATAATACCAATATTAATACCAATAATAATAGCAACAATAATACCAACAATAATACCAATGTTTATACCAATAATAATAGCAACAATAATACCAACAATAATACCAATGTTTATACCAATAATAATAGCAACAATAATACCAACAATAATACCAATGTTTATACCAATAATAATAGCAACAATAATACCAACAATAATACCAATGTTTATACCAATAATAATAGCAACAATAATACCAACAATAATACCAATGTTTATACCAATAATAATAGCAACAATAATACCAACAATAATACCAATGTTTATACCAATAATAATAGCAACAATAATACCAACAATAATACCAATGTTTATACCAATAATAATAGCAACAATAATACCAACAATAATACCAATGTTTATACCAATAATAATAGCAACAATAATACCAACAATAATACCAATGTTTATACCAATAATAATAGCAACAATAATACCAACAATAATACCAATGTTTATACCAATAATAATAGCAACAATAATACCAACAATAATACCAATGTTTATACCAATAATAATAGCAACAATAATACNTAATAATAATACTAATAATAATACTTATAATAATACTAATAATAATACTAATAATAATACTAATAATAATAATGCTAATAATAATGCTAATAATAATACTAATAATAATACTTATAATAATACCAATAATAATGCTAATAATAATACTAATAATAATACTAATAATAATGATATTGTCTAGGGATGATTATGAATGTTCTGCCCCTAGTTTAGATAAACTTGTTGAAGCTTCTCTAAGCCTAGGAGCTTATGGTAAATATAAAACAGAAAACTATTTTTAAAGGGTTTGTCCACCTTCTTAAAAATGCACTTCTTACAAAATTAAGATCACAACTTTCAGTTAGGGTTTCCAACGAACGAAACGTTTCGCGAAAAAATGCAATAATTTTTAGTCGCATTTTGCAAACTTTTTGGCAAAATTTCGCATTTTTTCGTAAAAATTAAATGAAGCGAAAACGAAGCGAAATTTCGCGAAAATTTGAAGTCTGAAAATTTTGCGAAATGCGAAAATATTTTTGCAAAATGCGAAAATTTTGCGATCTATCTGATTTCTCCTAGTCGTTCTTAAATCTATATTTTTATTTTGTGTTGATCAATTGGGCTCGCAGATAAATCCCTCTTTGAAAATGAGTCTAATATTCTCAACATTTAGTCCTTTTTGATGAATTTTCGCAACTTTATCGCAAAAATATTTTGTATTTGTTTACAAATATTTCGCGATTTGCTTTTTTTTGCAAGATTGTCGCATTTCTTTCGGTAAATTTTCTCATTTTTTCGCGAAATTTTCGCATTTTTATTTCACGAAAATTTCGCATTTCTTCGCGAAACAGATTCATGGAAAATTTCGCGTATAGTAAATTGTACTGAAGTATCATTAGCGTAGGTTCGAGACTAACTGGTGTAGGTTGGGGAGAATGTACTGTAATATAGTAAACTGTACTAAAGTATTATTAAAGTAGGTTCGAGACTAACTGGTGTAGGTTGGGGAGAATGTACTGTAATATAGTAAACTGTACTAAAGTATTATTAGCATAGGTTCAAGATTAACTGGTGTAGGTTGGGGAGAATGTACTGTAATATAGTAAACTGTACTAAAGTATTATTAGCGTAGGTTTAAGATTAACTGGTGTAGGTTGGGGAGGATGTACTGTAATATAGTAAACTGTACTAAAGTATCATTATTGTAGGTTCAAGACTAACTGGTGTAGGTTGGGGAGGATGTACTGTAATATAGTAATAAAGTATTATTATTGTAGGTTCAAGACTAACTGGTGTAGGTTGGGGAGGATGTACTGTAATATAGTAAACTGTACTAAAGTATTATTATTGTAGGTTCAAGATTAACTGGTGTAGGTTGGGGAGGATGTACTGTAATATAGTAAACTGTACTAAAGAATTATTATCGTAGGTTCGAGACTAACTGGTGCAGGTTGGGGAGGATGTACAGTTTCACTAGGTTAAAAAAAACTTTAATCTAAAAGTTCGCATGGCCTCCACCCCCCACCCCCCCTCTTCACATAAAAATAAATAAAAGATTATTATTTGCTTATATTCATTTTACTCTTGATCAGTTTATTTGGTTTTATATTTTTCTACATCCCCCTCTTCATTATTCGAAATAAAACCAAAATGTGAAAAAATGTAAATGATATTTTAACAAAATAAAAACGTAATTTTTCAAAGAAAACATATTTATTTTTATTTTCTATGCATTTGATATTTTGAAAAAAAATAAGAGAATTAATGCATATCGAGAGGAAGTTGAACTGGGAGGGACTAGTTTAAGTTCAAATTTTACTTAAACTTTTAGTGAGTTTTTACAAAAGTCAATACTTAACGGATTTATAAATATTTAAAACCGCGCTCAAAACTGAAAGATTTAATATTTGTTGATGGTGAAGAACAGGCAAGCATAATTAATGCATTTTGACAGTTCAGAAAAAAATCAAATTCGTTTTTTTTTCTACATTACTAACATTAAACCACCGACTTTGGTACCTCAAGAGAAAATTTTATACAGCGATCCAGTGTTGTAATTTAATTAGAGCCTGGTGGCTATTTAAGAGTATTTGAACCACCCGTACCTAGTCCCACTTCTTTTCTTTATTTCCTTCAAGTCCGCTAGGTGTCTCTCCCACGTTGACACCTGGCGGCCAACTAATCATCGTTTAAATTGCATCATATATAAAACAAATAAAAAAATATTGTGAAATATCAACTATATAAGAACCGTCGAATAAAATTCGAGGATTATTGGTTGTTATATCTCAATGATTTGTCTGGAATTAAATTGATTTGTTTACGATCTGAGTCGAATGTTGCAATTTTCTGATTTTGTATGGACGCTACGTTCTTCTGTATTAGCCGTTTTTAACCAATGTTCTCCTTACAGGCGCAAAAGATTGAAGTAAAATTAGTAGCGATCACCATAGTATTTTTTTTCGACGTAACCCTACCCTCTTTCATATTTCGCTAACACTCCCTTTAATAGATTTCCAACTATTTTTTTAGTCCCGAGTGATTCTGTTTCTGACTTCATGAGTGGACTGAAGACGACTTATTACAAAGGAACAAATTATTATATTCACTACAGTGTAGAACACTTTTAATGTTGGATGTCTTTTTCTATATTATCTTTTTGTTTTACTAGAAGTTCTTTCTTTTAATATAGAAATGTCGCAAATAATGTTACAATTTGAATTTTTTTTATCCAGAACGACAATAAAATAAATAGAAACTTATTACACCGTTGTCTGGTTACCCGTAAACCTCAAAACTGTTCAAAATAGAGTTTAAATTTATTTGCAATTGAAATTTTAAAATTCAGAAAAAGAGATGAATATTGTTTTGTGGGATTAGGACGAGAAGATCTAGAAAATGTCGTCTTCCAAACCAAACCTGGCGCTGGAGCCCAATTATGGAAACTATAGGAGATAAAGAAGATAAATATCTGCTTGAATAAAAATGTCAAGAGTACATTTGTTTGAAAAATTGTTGTTATTCATAAGGCCTTAAAACTTGCAATACTAAATGTTTTAAAAAACTTTGCTAGACCAAAAGAAAAAAAGTTTTTGGATACTACTGTAAACTATACGTATACAAGATTAAATGATAAAATTCCTGGAGGGGGGGGGGGGTAACAAATGTTACAGGCCTCCCCCCCCCCCTTTGAAATGTATCTATATATGGAATTGGGAGTGGGATTCAAGGGAAACAATATTTTTATTGTTTTTGAGTTTCTAGATGTAGACATAATATTTCTAACCTCCTTCTCTCCCTTTGCATGCGGAGTTGGTTAAATTGATTTTAGGAATAGTTTCAACAATAAGTTGCAATTGAATTATTGTTTAAACATTTCTGTTTTTTTTCCTAAAAGCATTTTAAAATGTGACTTTTTCTTTCTTCAGTGGATATCTTTTTTAAAGATAAATGTGATATATTTAAGATAATTTGTTTAATTGATAAAATTTTATAGTTAACAATTTACAAATTAAAACCCTTGAAGGGACTTTACGTGTAATTTCAAGTAACCCTCAAGATGACAAACAGATTATTTTCATTTGTTGTTTCTCAGCAAAAGTGACTTGCAAGTCTCTTGCTAAAGACTGGAGAAATTACCAGAATTAAATAATCTTTGGATCAGATATGGGTGTCAAGGGTACTGTTGTGAATCGGACTTGAAATTACGCTTACAGTCCTTTTAAGGTTTCATTTTGTTTTCTCCCTTAGATATATTTTGGTTTTGCAAAAAAAATATAGTTACAGGAAGCCTTTGATGTAAGTGCATGCTAATTGGGTAATACTGAACATTGAAGCAAACAAAATTATCTTATAAGGTTGAAATTTGATTTTGTAATTTTGTAATTAAGTTAAATGTGTGACTTAGATTTTTATCATTTTTATATTTTGATTACGAAAACTGGTAGTGTGTGTAATATTACATTTATAGCAATAAAGTTTTGCAGAAAATTAATAATTGGTATTTTAATATTGAAGTTTGGAAATACGAAATTTAAACAATTCAGCGCTGAAAACTTTAGAATGGTGGATATCGAGATTATGGCTTGATCCTCTCTTATTGCTAATCTGAAGACTAATTTAGTCTTTAGATTAACTTATATAGATTAAAGATGCGCTCTTCCACTTTTGAAAATCCGGTTTTTGATTTTTACGCATTTCTGTTGTCATTTCTGTGTCATATCAATTGAACTAATGATCGATTTAACTAACGTAAGTTTGGGATTAATGTTTATTAACACTAACGTTCAAAATGGCTCAAATAGTCCTCAAATGGGATAAAATATGTTTTTTTAATAAGTTCATATTAACATGATTAAATTTATATTTGTTTAAATGCTCTAAAAGCTGGCTTGGAAACAGCTGACTTTAGTTCAATCGGATAATAGTCCAATCGATATAGCATCGCATCTGTAATTGTATTCAAACGTAACTCTTATTCATTAGGGATATCCAAAAAAGAGGATTAAAAAGAAAATCAAAAGTGTGTACATTGGATATTCAGATTAAGCAATCGGGATTAAGGATATCCCATTCTAACGTTTTCAGCTCAGTTATCATTTTTATTTCCTATTGCTCATATATTTTACAATTTTTTGCAGGTAGTTTTGCAGTTATTTTTGCAGGTATTTTTGCAGATATTTTTGCAGTTATTTTTGCAGTTATTTTTGCGAGTATTTTTGCAGGTATTTTTGCAGTTATTTTTGCAGGTATTTTTGCAGGTATTTTGCAGGTATATTTGCAGTTATTTTTGCAGGTATTTTTCAGGTATTTTTGCAGATATTTTTGCAGTTATTTTTGCAGTTATTTTTGCAGGTATTTTTGCAGTTATTTTTGCAGGTATTTTTGCAGATATTTTTGCAGTTATTTTTGCAGTTATTTTTGCAGGTATTTTTGCAGGTATTTTTGCAGTTATTTTTGCAGTTATTTTTGCAGGTATTTTTGCAGGTATTTTTGCAGGTATTTTGCAGGTATATTTGCAGGTATTTTTGCAGGTATACCCATTAAATTGTAGAATAGGATAAAGACATTTAAGTTTTGCCAGTAGATTATAAATAAAATAGATCTGAATTATGCTACACTGCACAATTGCTTTGTTTCTTATTTATTGGACTATTTAAAATCAAAACAGCTTTCTTCTATTCTACAGCTTTATGGGTTCCACTGTAAGTTAGGTGGACTATTGGGTTCAGAGAAGGGCCTTCTACTCCAAATCTGGACAACTGTTCACCACTTAACATTATTTTCATGTATTAAATTAAAAACCTTTCTTTGTAATCATAATGCCATATATTCATGTACAAATCATTGTGTCGATCAATCTAAACTTTAACACATAATTCATATCCACAATAGTTCGTTTAGTCGCTATCTGCCTCCTTTAAAACCATAGTTATAAAGTAAATGTGGAATCTTGGGTCTGTTGTGAGTTCTGGATGAAAAGCGGTCGCCATATTGTTTCCTTGCCGTACACCAATTATTTGGTTTGGTTCTTTCGCCATATTGTTTCCCTGGTGGACGCCATTTTGTTGGTTCCGTTCTTGAGGCAGGATTTCCTTCTCTCCAAGCAAGGCAAGGATTTCGACTCCGTTTTGTATTCCGACAACTCCGGGTGCTCGGATGAAAATCCTAGAACAGAAATATTTGGATAACATTTTTTTACAGTGGTAACTATAAGAAAGTGGAATGATCGTCTTGTTCTTTCTTTTTATCATAAAATTTTAAGTTATTAGGTTTTAAATAACGAAAATATAAATGCCAAAAACTATATTTTACAAAATATGCCATGACATTTATTATGAAAAGAAAAGACCAAGAGGAGGTAAGGAACCCCCGGACGCCATGAGCCTCCGCTATGCAGACACGCAGAAATGTGCATGCGCCATACATCAAAATGTGCCTGTGTAATACAGGAGGTTTTTTTTAATCTTGTGTTACAAGTTAAAATAAAAGATTTTTTACAAATTTTTCGACTTAGTGGCATGAGAGGTTTCTCAAAGATCAGAAGTATTTATCAATAATCATAACTAATGCCTGATTTTGACTAATAAAGCTTTGTATATAAAACTTTAAACATTTCTTACGCAGAAAGAAAAATATTAAGAAAAAAAATTTGGAATTTCATTTATTTTCATCTTTTGTGATCTTTGATTTAAGCGATACCTATTTTTGTGGTTAAAATGAAATCTAGAAAATTTGTATCAGTTATTAAAATCAATTAAAATTTTTTTTTCAAAAAAAGGTATTGTTTATATCAAAACATACCAATTTACTCCAGAAATATTTCTCCAATTATCTTCCTTTCTGCCTGAGAAATGTTTAAAGTTTTATATACAACTTTATTAGTCACTAGTTGAAGGGCCGGCGTTGCCCGTGGAAGAAAAATATTTGAAAAAATTAGAATAAAAAAAAATTTGAAATTTTTTTAGCCTAAAACACCCCACGGCCACCCATGAGTGTCCACAAAAAAATTCAGCCCAATCGGTCCAGCCGGCTATGCGCAACATATATATATGAATATACAAATGTCTTGTTTTATTATATAGATAATTAGGCACTCTTACGATAATTGATAAATACTTCTCATCTTTGAGGAACCTCTCATGCCACTTTGCCGAAAAATTTGTAAAAAATCTTTTATTTAAACTTAAAACACAAGTTTAAAAAAACCTCCTGTATTACACAGGGACATTTTGATGTATTTGCACATGCTCATTTAAGCATGTTTGCGTAGCGGAGGCTCATGGCGTCCGGGGGTTCCCTCCCTCCTAAGATAACAACCAATATAACTGTAATTCCACCGTTTTCTACTATAAAGTTATTTTGTTTGTTTTAGAATTGATGAGTCGTAAATAATGTGATTTTATATTAGGAAACAAAATATTTTTTAAATATGTAATTAATTTTTAAAATACCCTTTGTATAGGGAAGAACTACCAGCAACAAGGTCCGTGTCGACAAGATGAATATCAGCGACAAAACTGTTCTTCTGTCGGCCGAAAAAATTTCGACAAACAGTAATGTCTATTCCTCCCAACTGTAATAAAAACATATAATTTAAATAAAATACACAAACTGACGCCCCACATCTCCTTCGTAAACAAAATTGCAAAATAACGAACATTCTGAGCATTATTTCAATCAAAAAGTTCGTCATTTCTAAATTATTTTGATTGTTCGTTATTACAAAAAAAAAACTGTGTTTGGTTTCATTTGAATACTGTTTTAGTCTATAATTTAACAATCTTTTAACTTAATGAGTTGTTTTTCTATACTTTTTCCTTTAAAACGCATATGCCGACAAAAATGTAAAAAAAAGAAAAGGCTAAAAAAATATGTTTTATTGTGTTTGTTTTGATCGAAAGTCACAAACAATAAAAATTTTAAGGCTCCCTTAGATCTATTTTATTTTCATATATGCAAGAAACATAATTCAACTTATCACGCACCTCTGACCCTTCAGTAAAAGTAAATTCAAACTAAAGTCTGACCGCGTCAATCTTGTAGCACCGGCTAGTCCAATTGAGTGTCTAGTTTATTCACCCAATATCCGGGCGTACAGTACAAACCGAATAAACAAAATAAAACCGATTATAAACTATTATAGTTGATCTTTATTCCTTCCCTAAAATGTGCTCATAGAACCTTTTTCCACAATTATTTAATTTTACTTAATTTACTTACCCCATCAACATTTTCTTCTGTATTTTCCTGTGCTTTCGAATTCTTTACAGAAATAACATAAAATGTTTTATTGTATAATATAATTAAATATTCAATTGTGGTCGCCGAAATAAAGTTGACTATTATCATCATTATTATTATTATTATTGTTATTATTATTATTATTATTGTTATTATTATTATTATTATTATTNCCCCCTCCCCCAACTACACAATCTACATAAGTTCGATACTTTATTAACACACAAATATATGTTTTTAGAATGTTATAAATATTAAAAAATGGCTATTCATGAATTAAGACATTGTAAATACAGTTTTTGCATCTAATTCATTCCGTGAAATTGGCGTTTTAGTGCAATTACACCTTCTGATTTGCACGGAATTTTGAGAAAAATGCAAAGTTTCCACGAAATTTTTCTTACGTATGGAAGAGCAAAAAATCACAAAAAGTTGGCCCTCATGCAGTTTTGAATAAAAAGATACAAAATAAACCCCCTCTTCTTGGCCCCCCTCTTCTTGGCCCCAATTGTGATTCGATCCTTTCCTTTCCTGTTCCAACTAATGCCGTTTGAATTGATCGTTTGAACTATTGGTCGTTTAAACTCTACTGCACGTGGTACCACATGAAGTAGTTCTGTTCAAACGACTTTGTTTCATGCTCATTTAAACTAAATTCTTCATTTGAGCATAAATAAACACAATTATTCAAAATCAAAAGAATGAATATCTAAATAGTTCAAATGAACAATAAAGTGTAAATGAACAAAATGTTGTTCAAATTAGCCAAAAAATAGTTCTAAAAAAACAAAAAGATAGTTATATACACAAAAAAAGTTCAAATAAAGAAAATATACTTCAAATGTACATAAAAAAGTCTTCAAAAAAACTTTGAGAACATTTTAAATTCTATGTTCATTTTAAATATTTTTTGTTCATTCAAACGTTCTTTGATGCACTTGAACTGAAATTATTATAAAACTGCTGATGTTTAAAGAAAAAAGTTCAAATGAGCAAATATTGTGTTAATTTGAACATTAGTTAATATGAACAATAGTTCAAACCGCAGTAATTCAAACAAACATTGCACCTAGGTGCTTTTTTCCGTATACTTCTAGATCATATCCACTGACCTGTTCTCCCCCCTTCCCTCCAGTCTTGAAGAGTATTTAGAAAATCCTCATTCAGAAATTTCTTCAGGGTAGTTGATTCTCCACCTATGGAAAATACTGTGAAATACAAGGGCGTACACAGAAATAAAATTTAGGAGGGGGCAAATATGCGCGAAGCGCAAAATTTGAACTTTAAATTCAAAGGGGGGGGGGGGTGGCCTTCTGACTCAACCCTCAAAAGTAGATTTTTTTGAATTGTTTCCGCGATTTTTGTAATAAATACGGAAATCCATCAAAACCCAATTTTTGAGGGGTTTCCTCTTTATTTTTAGGCATGTACGCTTTTTAGCTGACAAATATTTTTGAATTTTTAAAAACTTTATTTAGTTAAAGTGTTTCCTCCTTTTAGGAGGTGTTTCCGCAAAATATTTGAGGCGTTTCTGTATTTTTAAAAACTCTATTATTTAGTCGAGGTGTTTCCTCTTTTTTTTCGAGGTGTTTTCGTAATTTAAAAAACTTCATTTAGTTGAGGTATTTCCGCAAAATTTTGAGTAGCTATTAAAAAGATTTAAAAACTTTGAAAAAATAGGTGATAACTCAACTAATTTTAGAGTTTTCAGAATTTTGTTAAGGCGTTTCCGTCTTTTGATTTTTCAATAAAAGATTTTTCAAACTCCACATTAAGTTTAGACATTTCTGCACATTATTTTTTAGGTGTTCTGATTTTAAAATAATTTATATTCTTTTTTAATTTCTCGAAAAAAAGTTTTCAAAGTAATTTTGTTCTTGACTTGTCGTTTCAAGAGAAAAACAACTCGTTATTTTTCTTACTATGTTTTCTAACTACTTTTTACCATTTTTGTGAGCCATTTCCATACATAAATAAAAGTGTATAAAAATGGTTTATTTATTCTTAGTTCAATTTTGTCATCCCTTTAAATATGCACTATACACATAGATTTTGACAAAGTAAAGTACTGTAACATTAAAAGATTCATTTCAGGTGCAATCTTGCGAAATATTAAAGGAAGGGTTAAATATATAGAATTTAAGAAGATATATTGATATTACTAAAAATACACATTGATGTAATTAGATAGAACGACCAAAATATTTATTTGATACAGCTTGCTAACGTTGTTCACAGAAAAGTAATTTTAATTATTTATATATGTAATTAAATTAAGGAAACCGAATAAATTAACATTGTTATGCACAATTTGCCTTACACAAGAGCTTCCGCTGTGCATCTACAGGGACTATCCTACTAAGTTTTTGCCACAAACTCATATTTTATAAACCCCTATTTTTTTTAAACCTGATGGTGTAAACCTTACTTCTAACTTGGGCTTTTCATAGTTCATAGAATTTATAGTTTAAAAATATTAAAGATCTGCGACATCATGTTGAACAGATATAGGGATTATAATTTTGGGGTTTTGGAAAAATCTCATTTCCTTTGCTCCTCTGATATAAATCATCAAATGTATGTTCTGTTCTAAGCCAAGCACAGCCTAAGTATGAAAGATATACGGTTCTTTATTACAGGTAAAAACTATTCGGTATTTTTGTCAGAATAGGGGTTTTAAGGTGGGGGGGGGGGGGCACATAATGTTCTATGGTGTGCACAGATAAAAATAAGGTGCCCTCCCCCCCTACACTGAAGCTCTTGAAGGCCCCTGCTAGTACAAAAAAGGTGTGCACTGTGCACAGATAAAATAAGGTGCCGCCCCCCCCCCTACACTCTCTTACCAGCTGGTACAAAAAAAAACACCTCAACTAAATAAAGTTTTCATTTTTTTTTTGAAAAACGGAAATGCCTCAAAAATATGCGGAATTGCCTCAAAAATAGATGAAACACCTCCACTGCACAAAGTTTTTAAAGTTTTATTTGAAAAACGGAAACGCCTCAAAAATATGCGGTAACACCTCAAAAAAAGAGGAAACACCAGTAGCGGATACAGGGGGGGGGGCCGGGGGACATTCGCCCCCCCCTGACAGATTCAGGGAGGGGCTTAGCCCCCCCCCTGAATTTGGAATTTTTTGTTCCTATTTTCAGATAAGCTTCTCAATAGCGTGCTTAAGGGAAAGTTAGAAACCCTAGTACAAAACAGGAAAAATGTCTGTCTTAACAAACTATAATGTGTGAGAAGTTAAAAATCTAGTTTTTTAGTCTTTAGTCATTAATTTTGACTCTTTTTCAGTCTTTTAAGTTAAAAAAAAAATTTGCCTGCGGCACGATTTTTGTTCCTAATCATGAATTTTTTTTCCTAAAAAATCTCCCCCCCCCCTCACTTAAATCCTGTATCCGCCCCTGGCAAACGGAATTTCCTCAAAAATAAAGGGAAACGCCTCAAAAACGAGGAAACACCTCAACTATAAATATTGGGAAAAGACTCAAAAATATTTGGAAATCCCTCACCCTTTCCCAGTTTTGAGGGATTTCCAAAAATAAAACGGAAATTCCTCAAAAGCGGTTTTTGAGGCATTTCCTAGGCCCCCCCCCCCCCTACATATATATATATTCCTGCATATATACCCTTGAATTATTTGGTCTTATAGATATAAAAAAACCGAGGAAAACTCAAAACAGTTCGTTTTTGTGTTTATATTAAAACAGCAATAATCATTGACCTCAGGGGCGTACTCAGGAATTTCTCCGGGGGTAGGGGGCTTTAACAATTTTTTTTCTAGTGGGGGGAGATCTCCTTGAAACCAAAAAGTTCACTGATCCAGGGGGGCAGAGTCCCCATAGCACCCCCGAGTACGCCCCTGATTATCGTCGTAAAATAATTATGAAAAATAAACAGAAGTATTTTCTTAAACATTAAACCTAACTCTAAATTGTCAAAAATCCATTGAATAGCAAATTTTTATCCACAAATTCCTCAAAAATAAATAAAAATCCCCAGAAATGTATAGAGTTTTCTGATTAATTAGGTTTTATTCCCGAACTGACTGGAGAGAAGTGCTAAACTCTGATTGGATGGTAATCAAAGCGGATAGTTTTACAATTGGCCGGTATTTGATCACGTGACCGTGGGAAACAATAATTTCAATGATTCTCACAGTTCTGCCGAACTATGACTTTCGCATTGAAACAGACAGTGTCAGTCACAGTCACAGTCAGATTGCTACTGTTGCAAGTATCTTTTAATCATCGAATTATTCAATTGTAGAGTGAGGGCAGTGAATCGTTCATTTTTGTTGAAGAAATGGGGTCTTCAAAAGGATATTGCAGCTTTTGCTTGAAGAATGGAGAACCGGAGAAAACTTACAGGTATTATTAACTTATAGCTTTAAGCTTTGTTTTATAAGGGGTGCACTCAGGAATTTGTACTGGGGGGCTCAAATTTCTTTCCAGGTGGAGGGCTCAGCACCCGTCGGGGCCAGGAAACCTTAGATTTTCTGGATCCATGTGGGAGGGGGGGG